AAAGTTGTACTCATCCAGGGTGGATTGAAGTCTCGACATCACATAGGTCTTATCAACACACTTAGCGGGAGTGGAACCGTGACAGTGCAATATGTGAGCTTGACACAATAACCTCTCGCCCAAATTGCCACGAGTGCCCTTGGGTCACAGGACAGTGAGCCTATTCAAATCAAGTAGAATCATCATATTTGAGGTTGGAACACAATAGAATGTTATAGAAGAGCGAAAGAAACAGTAGTGGCCATTTCTAGTTGGCTAGTGGTAGATAAGTTTGCTCATAGATGTGGTCCATGAAGTAAAGGCTTGATCACAGGATTTACTCAGTGCATATGCCGCACAGCGATAAGGGAATCTGCGGCGTCAAGTTAGGTTGTCATGTCAAATAAGAATCCAGACTTTAGGGGTTTTCACAGCAAGGCTGGTGTATGTGTGCTATCAAAGGCTTGAGGTGGAGTGTAGAACGTCTTTAATAGCACGAATACGGTGGCAGCGATACCTAAAATCACTGACAGGCAGATAAGGGAAGGATCCTACGGAGCGACAACGGGGCTCTGATAAGACCCGAAGAAACAGGATTGCGGATTAAACCCCAGCCTTGGATTAACATTCTCGGCACAGTGGGAGGGATGAGGAAACCAACTGGGAGTGTGGATAGATTTCAAATAGGCCTTGAGAAGCAAGTAATAAATTGTGCTAATGAAGGGATGATACTAGGATATAGGATTGGTGATTAGCCCCAGGCGGAAGGAGAAATACCACGATTATTTAGAAGACAATTGGTCAAAGGATTGGCTTCACTTGTCTCTTTGACGAGTTGTAGTGTGGTGCTGGGACTAGCAAGGCTCACTGACGATACTGGCAAAACGCCTGGGAATGTACCAAGTCCACGGTCCGACTAAAAATTATCATACATACTATGGATTCCAGACAAGGTGCGCTCCTCTAGGTCTTCCTACCAATATGACCAAGTTGCGAAAACAAGGTCAAACAACCTCTATTATTTATTTTTCATATAATTCATCGACTTTCTCGGCCTCATCATCAAGGTTGATTTATCAAGGAAGAATAGAATTCAATGGGAAAATATCAGGTAGTTAACAAAAAAACACTGGAATATGACATTTCTGTAGTTTCGATCCCGCTCAGGACCCATCAGCACTGACAGCGGTAATCAAACCAGGGTAATGCAGCATAGCCTGGACACGTCAACCACTACGTCACAGTGCCACGAGTGCCCTTGGGCCACAGAGCAGATGCGAATTTAAAGGAAGACCAGTAATTTTTCCATATCTAATTCTGTAGTGGGAGTGTTGATTAAGAAAACGTATGTTTGCTATAGGAATTGTCTGTATAAAACGAAAAATAAGTATATGAGCGATTTCCATGGTAAATAAAATTTGCTTAGTCGACAATATCACCACATTAATGTAATCTGGATAAGTGCAATATAATGGCTAACGTGTCGGTACGGTACATTGCACTATCCAGATTCGAGTTACACTGTGGGTGCTGATGAGACCTAGGATAACTCGAAACTGCAGTCCACTCTAGATGAGAATACCTTTTTGAAAGGAAGGCTACCTGAAAATCAATACAGAAATGAGGCCTATTGATATGATTGTGGGAAAATGCAACTACATTAAACGAAATGTTGTAAACACAGCTCCTATAGCAGAGCTCCTGGTAGTCTATAAAACCTACTTATGGAATAAAAGATGAAACTGCTTTATCCATGTTTTATATCGCGGACGACTCAAATTATTTCGCTGTTTGCTTTTGACGTTTCAAGACTAGAGAAAAATATAGATGTTGACCGGTAGCATTCACGATATTACGCTCCCATAATGATTTCTTCCGTTATAGCCTAAGAAGAGCATAGAGCTTCGTCGACTTTTCTAAGAAAATAAACACTCTTCAATAGGACATAGAGGCAAAATTCTGCTAAGTGGATGGTAAAATATCGATACCTTCAGAAAAAATAAAATGTGATGGATTAAACTGTATAAGTTATTTATATTTATAAAGACATTTTGTGGAATGAATGGATGAGACGATTCTTAAACGTAATAGGAACGAATATATAGATAAGGTGGAGATTTTGTGGAAGTAGTGCGGTGAGGGAATAGATTACATAATTTTGTTAAAAAACTAAACTATTACATCAAACGAGATAGAAGATAAGAGCATCTGGAACAAGTTGCTATACTTAATTTTGTAAGGATTCGAAATGGTAAAGGTGTAACAAATGTGCAAATTCGGCAAGGCCAGAGCTGTAATTAAGCGGATCGAAAAATAAAAACTAAACAGGATAAATCAATAAATATTGATAAACTGAGTTACAAGCTGAGTCAGAGATTAGAATTAAGATAAGGAACAAAAACTAAAATTACAAAAACATGGAGAAGCAAGCTTAATTCAAACATAGATGTTTAAAAAAAATTTACTAAACGCGAGATAGTAAGAGATTTCGTTCTAGTAAAGTGTCGATGATGAATCATACACCGTAGAAAATATAGGAACGACAAAACGAGAATAAATAAAGTGAGAAGCGTGAAATACAGGGAAAAATTGCCAAATAATTTGGCATGAAGATAATTGAGTAATTTAATGAAAGCCAAATATGTGTAACAACCTCTAAATTGTCGCGATATAAAAAGAATCTGGGAAAAAAATGTGAAGATATGAATCATTTGTGCCAACGAAAAGACACATTGCTTAAAATTGTAAAAGGAAATTGAAAGCCATATGCATTGGAGAATGCAATAAGTCTTGCAATATGTATAACTGCGTACAGACCGGAAACGGCCCGGCGTGCAGAAATATTGCCCTATCATAAAAATACCTGGCACAATGGGTCAGAATACGAAGGGGACTCGATCTATCTCTCCTCCTCTTTTGAAGTAGACAAAAATGTCTCTGCCTTGGAAACAAGCTTGGATCGGTACCAAGAGATGAATGCCTGCTTAAGGCAGGTCAATTCACTGTCTTCCTGAAACTGGGCAATTTGGCTCAAGAGAAGATCCGGAGCGACGCTTGAATCATCTTCGATTTTTGCTTGCCCGATATTATTTTTGAAAGTTGAAGCATGCAATGATGGTTGGGCGGCCGGTGGAGGAACCCAAAAGAGACGAATGGCATAGGTAAGTTGAATCTGAATGGAAGAAAAAATGGCAATATCATGGGACGATATGTTAAACAATCCAAGGTAATTTTTAAAGATAGAATTGATAAATTCTAAAAGAGCATCCGCTTAGAAAACATAAAGATAAAAAAAGGGTAATAGAAAAATGTTAATGAAGATAATAGGCTATTTTGTTTAAGGGAAATAAACAATTAACCTGCAAAACAAACGTATGTGGATCAATGAGAACATAAATAAGAGCTCACTATAGCTAGATAGATGACTCGGGCAAATCATTCATCATTAAGATAAGTTAATTCATTCACTTCAAAATTATCAACTTGTCAATCAATTTTTTTTAAAGACAGTCAGAGTTATTCAGATTTAAATAGTAATCGGACTGAATTCATCTATTGAGAAGCCCGGTACTAATCAAGAATAATTATATCTTAAATATATAATCCCTATTTCATATAGATTTCTTCTTAGTATGCAGACTGTAACCTTTACATTTGGACTGAGGGAAAGTAGCACTTCATCCAAAAGGAAAATTGCAAAAAGGATTGGTTGTGTGATAAAATAATCGAACAGATTAACGTAAATATTTGGCTATTATTTAAATAATTATCCCAAATATACCGATGAACCATGAAGATGCCAACGTAACTGCATCAAACGGCAACTCGTCAAAAGGAAAAGAGAAGTCAATCCCTCGACCAACATTCTGTCGAAACGGTTGCACTATCACTCCGCTTTCTGTCCTGGCTCATCTTTCTACTCCTTGCCCTCCCATCACACTCCAGCCCTATCGCAACTTCTGATTTCTTTACATTTCACTCGTCAGAAGATGTATCCTTTTTTGGCAAGTTTAATGTGGCATCATTAGACCTGCTGTTCATATTCATTCTCTCTCTTTGAATCAGGTAAGCCGACTCAGGCCTCCTACCCGGATCTTCCTAATGGTCCAGTAGATCCGCTTCTTATCTTTCTACTTGACAAATTTCATACAGTTCCAGTCCTAGTGTGCGTTTTATTCCAAACGCTGAATCTCAAGCCCCTACGAGGACGTACACTGCCACATCACCAAGTAGAGCGCCTAGGCTC